ACTTCAAACTGACTTACCAACAAAGTTACTTCGGATCCCATCATCTGTTCTTCAGTCACTACTATGGTGGACAATCCCAGCCAACCTAACAGTTGGGGTTCCATTTTTTGGCCCTGGTGCCCTTCAGTGACTCTCAGTACCGATGCATCCCTACTGGGATGAGGGGCAGTGTGTTCCAGTCTTCGCACCCAAGGCGTGTGGAATTGACAGGAATCCGGGAACCATATCAATTTCCTGGAACTCCTAGCAGTATTCAAGGCCCTGAGTTCATTCGAGGACGTTCTTCGGCACCAAGTCGTTCAGATAACTTCGGACAATATCGCTACGGTCTTTTATCTGAACAAACAAGGAGGGACAAAGTCACTGCTAGCGCGGTTATCGATGGAAATCTGGTAGTGGTGCAACCAGAGAGACATCACCCTGATAGCAGTGCACCTAGCCGATACAGACAATGTGGAAGCTGATCTTTTAAGCAGACACATGTCCATGTCTCATGTATGGGAACTAGATCGCCAGACGTGCGACCAGCTATTCCATTGTTGGGGTCACCCAGACATAGACTTATTCGCCACCCACCACAGCAGGGTATGCAAGACCTTTTGCTGGAGAGCGGGAATCGGACAAGGGTCACCAGGGGATGCCTTTATGATCCCTTGGAACAATATGAATTTTTACGCTTTCCCTTCAATTCCCCTCATTATGAGAGTACTATCGAAGATAATCTACAACGGGGCCACTGGACTGCTGATAACTCCATGGTGGCCACGGCAAGCATGGTTTTCAACGCTTCTTCGCGTTTCTCAAGGAGAATATCGTCAACTCCCACAAGTTCCGTATCTCATCACCCAGCAAGAAGGCACAATTTGCCATCCAGACTTGACATCACTGAAATTGACAGCCTGGCGAATTCGATAGCAGTCAGCGCCGATTCGCTACCGATGTTATCTACACGTTCTACGGATTCTGTCCCCGGATCTGACGTGGTGCGCCATGCCTCGCATCCATCTGCCATCCATCTGTCTTCAGATCCAACGGATGCACCATCAGGTTCGATGTGGTTTCACCCAGACATCCAATGCATTCTTGATTCTGCGCTAAGGCCGTCAACTCGAAAGCCATATGCGGCCAAGTGGCGACGATTCTTTATCTTTGCCGAGTCTCGCTTGTTCCTTCCACAGTCAGCATCTATAGACCACATCCTCCAGTTCCTTTTAGAACTCCATCATTCCGGACTTAAGCCATCTTCCATAAAAGTGTATACGGCAGCAATTTCATACTACCGGGGTACAGTTCAAGGCTCCTCCATCTTCTCTCAACCACTGCTAAAAAGATTCCTCAAAGGGCTCCATAACCTTCACCTGATGTTTAGACCGGTTATGCCTATGTGGAGCCTATCAATGGTATTACAGGCACTAACAAGAGCTCCTTTCAAACCCCTGGCGACAATAGACCTTCATCTTGTTTCTTGGAAAACAGCATTCCTGGTGGCGGTTATGTCAGCTTGGAGAGCTAGTGAACTCTATGCTCTCAGGGTGGACCCTCCGTATTTGAATTTCCACAGGAAAAAAGTGGTCCTACGTATGGACCCCTCTTTTCTTCCCAAAGTGGCTACTTCCTTCCACTTGGGTCAGGAGATTGTCTTGCCTGCCTTTTTCTGTCTCCGTCGAATCCGATTGAGAGAACCTTGCATACGCTCGATGTATGGCACTGCCTGACCTTTTATAGATCAAGGACTGAGTCTATTTGACATTCCACTAAACTCTTTGTGAAGTACTTTGAGCAAAATCAAGGTTTTGCAGTTACCCCTCAGAGACTCTCTAAGTGGATAGTCCAAACCATTACTCTTTCCTATCAATTGGCCGAGATAGACTTACCTACCGTCCCAAGAGGCCATTCTATTAGAGCTGAAGCTGCTTCTTCAGCTTTCGCATTGGGAGTTCCGGTTGACTATGTCTGTAGGGCTGCCACCTGGGCCACTAAATGTACATTCGCAAAGCATTATCGGCTGGATGTCTGTGCTAGGCAGGATTGTTCCTTTGGCAGAGCCATTCTTTCAACAATTCTTCGTTGATGACACCTTCCCTCCTTCCAGTATGGGTAAGCTTGGTAATTTGCTTGCTAATCTACCCATATGTGTGATGCACAGAGGCCACGACGAAAAAAGCTTACAGGTTGCTTACCTGTAACTGATGTTCTTCGAGTGGCCATCTGTGCAGTCACACCACCCACCCACCGGCCCCACTCAGTGTCATTGGGTGGTAGTGTTTTTTGGTACTGTGTTACTCTTGCTCTCGGTACCTACACAATATTTTTTCTTCTTGTCGATAAAATAAAAAATTAAATTAAATTAAGCAAATTAAATTATGCTTAGTTACAATTTGTTTCTTAGAGAGCGAACGTCCGGTCTGTCAAAGACTGGAAAATGGCGGACACTCCACTCCATATATACTGCTAGTGGGGAGGGGAGCGGAGTTTTTCCCGCCAAACCGTTAGCTATCAATCTTCCGGCCACAGGCACTGCACAGGCACAGTACCCATATGTGTGACTGCACAGATGGCCACTCAAAGAACATCAGTTGCAGGTAAGCAACCTGCTTTTATGTTACAATCCAATACATTTTTAGACAAGAAAAGTAGGAGGAGTTGTTCTTTTTTTCCATCTAACACTACATCATCGCCTCCTATGTCAGGCACATAGTAAGACTGGTATAGGTAGCAAAACAAAACTCCTGGGGTTTTAGACAGACCTAAGAAGGAACAACACATCAACTGAGTTTGCATCACAGGACAACCAACCATGGCCTATAACTATGGTAGGTTGTTGTGTTGTGCATCCTGGATGGTTTGGCAGAGTGGCTTCATTGTAGTTCATGAGGCAACCTGACATCCCATGACCTGGATTGTTTGATCCATGATCAGCTACCAGTGATCAATCACAATCAGTCCCCTTGCCACTCTTTCTAAGCATTTAACCCAGGAGTGTCATTGACAGTCACTTGGGGGTGCCCAAGTAACACTTGGGGGTGGCCATTGGAGGCTTCCTCTGCTGAAGGCCATTGGAGGTCTTCTCAGTCTCTGTCACCAGCCATTTCAGGCCAGAGGAGCCAACAGGGAGCAATATCAAGGGCCCTCTGATCTTAAGGCAGCAGGGGATATCTCAGTGCTCTTGTGGGGTTTCCTGAGATACCCATAGGAGCACCAAGGAGAGGGAAAGAGGTAGGCAAGGACTCACAATGTGCCTGATCATCCACTGGGCATAATTGTGGACGCTCTGGCAGATGTTCCACACCACACAGTTTGTGCTGCATTGTAAGTTGCCATGTCATGAGAACCCACCCTCTGTGAAATACCAAAGCCCTACATTCAAGCAATCTAAAAGGCTTGAAGTGATCCCTTTTGGTAAATCATTTTCTTAGCATAAAGCACAAAGTAAACAAAATTTGCATATGTATCAAGTTTCCAAGTACTTCACATCCATTTCTTCACTCTGCATCAGCCCTGCTCTCCCAGGATGAGTCTGCTGTGCAAGGCAACTCACTCCCAATCAAAATGTTGGCACTTAAAATTCAGAACAACACCTTTGATCCCACAGCCCAGAGCAGCACTGTGCAGAACTTGGTTATAATCATGAGGGTTGATGGCTGAGAGTTAAGTCACAATGTTCTCACACATGAAATATATAAAACAAACATTTTGGGCTCCCTTGAGTGGTGGCTTAGGAAGTACAAATCTTGGGAAAAGGGTATTTGTGTCCAAAGGAAAATAGAAGAAGAAACTGAGCTGTCCCAAATGTGCCTGGCTTATTAAAGGAATCCAAAGCTCCAATAAAAGCACATGTATGCTTCTAGAAAGTTGGACTAAGGCCAGTCTTTTGAACATAATCAAACCATAAGGCTTTTACTTTCTCCCATGATTAAACCAGAATATAAAGGCATATCTAGGCAACAAATGTAAAATTTTATACCTCAGCCTTGCAAAAATGTCACAGAACTTACAAGCCAGCAAAACTTTACTGACATGCTTGCCATACATACTGATGCTTGTCAGTCCCTTCGGGGAAAGAAACCCAGCCAGATCTTTTCATATTTACCAGATTTTCTCTGCTTGAATGCCTGAAGTCAATTCTCACTTGCTACAGATGACAATGCTAGTAGAAATTTACAAGCTTGTGTTTAATTATTATAGATTCTCCTGAAGTACTCTGGGAATGTTGTGAGGTGTGTGTGCATGAGACTTCTGCAGCCTTCACAGAATTACAATTCCTTGCGATTCCTTAGTCCCTTAATTGAAAAAAGAACTGGCTTACATTTGTGCTGTTTTTAAGCAGTATACTGTTTACCGAGAGTGCCAGAAGATGCACCTAGAGTTGTTAAGCAAGACCTAGGTTTGTTAAGTAAGTTTACATACTCAGGATTATGTAAACCAGGAGTGAGGCAACCTCGAGAAGTTGTTGGATTACAGATCCCATCCTGTCTCAGCATTAGTTATTCTGGCTAGGGCTGATAGGAGTTGCTGTGTGAGGACATCTTGAGGACCACAAAATGCCTACCCCCAACTTACACACGTTATGTATGCACTTAAGTGTTCAGAGATACTGAATAAGAAGTCATATGCTACAAATAAAAGGCCTGGTGGTCTATGGGGATAAAAAAAAAACAGACTGCCGAAACCAGTTGGCCAATTTTTGCTTCAGGTGCTTATGAAAGACACCTACAAGAAACTTAATTATTGTTGTGAAAGCTGACACATATAAATGCAATGGTTTGGATACAAACCTCTTCATGCTTTGAATGGATGCATCAAAATAATTATGTCTACTCTAAGCATAACTAAGTCTGTATCCAACCAGATAGTGATACCTTAATTTTAAAATGGGATCATTTATGTTAACAAAAAAACCCCAACAACCTTTCTTGTACTTTTAGAAATATATGCCTACATTTATATCGCTGTGTGTGTGTTGATATTTTCCCCCCTCTCCCTTTTTTGTAACTTTACAGGAAGCAAAAGGTGATTTTTCAAGGTAAGTTTTGCATGTATATTCGTCGAGTAAATTAGTATAGAGGAAAACTAACAAGTCTTGTAATTGTGTAACAGTGCTTAACTAGGGCACATACAACAAATAAAATAGTTTGCTTGCATTCATAAATGCTTGATGTATTTGTGGAATTCAGGAAATACAATAGTTTCCCCCTCTAGAGCAGCAGGAAATTTTAGAGGAAACGACTTGTCTTACCGTAAATCAGTGACCTGGCACAATTGTTTTAAAAATAGGCCCAAGTTGTGAGTACATCAGGCTTACACTTCTCTTCACTGGACTGATTTCAAAGATCACTTACAAGAACAAGATGAGTATGAGTGTTGATGAAATAGATTACACAGGTGCCAGTAAATAGCTCTTGGGCCCAATTCCATCCTGGGAAAGCTGCCATTTATCCACCATCTTACAAGAAAGTCATATTTTCAGGGTCCAGTTACATGGCACCGTAAAAGCCGTATTCTGAGTTTCGGTATCTGAGTAGGGCAAATCTGGGAGAAGAGGGCATATTCTAGCCCTGGTCTTTTCTTTTGTCACATTCTTCATCCCTAGATGGAGGGTGACTATCTGAAAAGTAGTGTGTCCTATATTTTCAACCTCCCGATCTTCCAGTCTTCTCATTAACATGGTCTCCACAGATACAAGAGGTGCTTCACTTGAAGTTGCTGTCCCCCATGGGTTTCTCCCATGTCCCCATTTTGGGTTTGTTATAAGTAAAAGGCGGGGTATAAGTCTAATAAATTGAAGTAGAGGGTCACAAAGGCATTGTAGGAAGGTTGGTCATTGCATGCTTGCACTGTGGAGGTACAGAATGTGGTGAGAGAACTCACAGCTGAACCAACAATGCAAAGATAGTTTCTATGCCTGGAAAATAATTCTGATTCCAAATGTACCGGGCTTCTAATTGCCCTGGTTTCAACTTTACTGAATCTCCAAGTTAATTTAATCTCAGAAAGCCATGCAAGAAGCATGTAATATGCATCACTGCAAAGACCTCATTCTGCAGTTTTGAGGAATGCAACATTTTGCAGCCTACAGTTGACACTCAGAAGTTCAGATACCCTGACACAGAACCTCAAATGTATTGTGAAATACTGACATGTTTGTGACAAGGAAGCACAAGCTCATTCTTGCTTTAATTTCTCAACTCATAACCTTTCAGTTTAACTTAGTCATTAGCTCTACTGTTTCATTCAAAGGCCAGGAGAAGAATTCAGATGTTTAACTATGCAAGTTGATTTATTGCAGCAATACTACAGGATTCTGGCCAGATTGTTTCACTTTTAGTTCAATGCTTGCAATAAAGCTCAGCAGCCAGAATTAACTACAGCAGCGTTTAACACTCTCCTAGAAACTCTGTTACTTAAAAGAACAAGAATGAGAAAGTGGAGAATCACACAAATTTGCAGATGTGTGTTTTTATGTGTAACATTTTATTTGTATTCAATCTCACTTCACTTTTTCACACACCAAGCACTCACACAATTCTTACGCAATTCTTACATACACCTGCCACTCATACACACTATTCACATAAAAATTTCATGCTAACGCCTAACCCAAACTTTGCCCATTCCTTTTTCTACTGAACCCTATTTGCAGTTCAATCTATCCTGTATTCATTGCTGATTAATTTCCAACGTTAGAGTATTCACAAGCATAAAAATACCATTCCCAAGCCAGTGCCTAGTGAAGGCTCTGTTCAGTCAAGGGAAGCCAAAGGTTGTATAGCAAAGCCAGCTCCAGGTTTGAGACAACCCTCAGTAAAGAGCTTCAGTTGATCCTCTTTCTATTTCAGTGTGTTTACCTAGCAGCACTGTGAAAACATTTAGCCACTGGAGTTTCTCATAATGCCCTGAGGTGTCACAGCATTGTGGGACATTTCTGTATTAATTATTTTTATGTTTGTGTTGACGTATTATACAATACACTTAATAGTTTTATTTTTAGTAGAAAAGTGGAATATAAATTACCTTAAATAAATCTATAGGTCATTGAAACTACATCAACTTGCAGATTGTCAAGGTGAGAATGGTGGAAACATGGAAAGAAACATTTACATAATAGGATTAGGAACAGTGGGATTCTAATTCCATGATCTTCTGAGACTACCAGCAGAAATACTAGTTTTAAGAGCCACCATTTGTTATCAATAGACTAGTTCAATTCCATGGATTCCAGAGAGAGACAGACAGTAATTATATGAAGGCCCTGGAGTCAATAAAAGTATAGCTTTGAAACGTCTCTCAATAGTTCTTCACAAAGAATGAACCTTGTGTCAGGTTTCAAGGTATTTTTCTCCCTAAAAGGTTACATCATCTTGAGTAGAGTAATGGTCTGGATTCTTGCTATTCTTCTGTTTTGAATGTTTTTCTTTGAAGAGAAAATTAACAAGCCCTTCGTAAGTTGTTCGTTTCTTGGTTAACAAGTCAAAATGCAGAGATGCTTGGGCCATAAAAATATTCAGTTTTTCTGAGAGTGAACTCACCCATTCGATTTTACAATGTGTGTCCTTTAAGAAAAATACTTCTATTTTAAAGCCTATTTTAATTGGTGTATAATATGGAAATACACACAGGAAGCTGACCACAGCCCCTCAGTTTCCACGGCTGTCTGAAGCATGTATTCTATGTGCAATCATTTGCTTTTCCCAGTATAACGGGACTGAGTTTGGTATGACTGAATGAAGGCCATTTCTGTGCAGCTTTAACTTGCAGCTTTAACCCTATGCAGCTTTACCCTATAGTGTTAAAGCTGCATAGTCAAAGCTTTAAATATTCAGCTTTAACCCTAACCCTTTTTGTTCTGTTTAATCCAATCATTATAAAGCACCTAGCTGTTAGGGGCTTTCTAAATGTCAGTTGTCAGTAGAAGCAACAGCAGCAGTAATTCAGGGCTGATTCGAGCTTCAGACTGAGTCCCAGTACCTGTTTTCAGTGTAACAGCTTAGCCTTGGAATCAGTGAAGAAATAATATAAGAGAGCATGTGCAGAAGTGGTAATCAGTACATTTGAGAAGGAAGGACTCCCTGGAGAAGACTGTAATGCTGGGAACAATTGACGGCAAAAGAAGGGGACGGCAGAGGATAAGGTGGCTAGATGGAGTCACTGAAGCAGTTGGTGTGAGCTTAGGTCAGGGGTCCTCAAACTTTTCCACCAGGGGGCCAGTTGAAAGCTGCCGGTGCTGGGTGTGGGCCGGAAAGGTGGTGCCAGTGGGGCACGTGGGCCAGCACGGGGGTGGTGTGCATGGGCACGTGCACTGAGGTGGAGGCGGTGCGCGAAGTGAGGTGAGGCGTGGGTGGGCACGCACAGCAAGGGGAGGCGAGGCAGGGGCGGGCATGCGCCATGAGGCAGGCGCACAAAGTAGCATCTTGCTCGCTTGGAGATCGTTTTCTCCGAGCAAGCAAACCACTGCCTCCTCACGTGTAGGGCAAGGTAGGCAGTGACGGGCACGGGCATGGGCACGGTGGGTCCAAATGGACATGGTGGGCCAGATAAATGGGCATGGCGGGCCAGATACAGCCCCAGGCCGTAGTTTGAGGACCCATGGCTTAGGTGGACTCCAGGGGATGGTGGAGGATAGGAGAACATGGCGGAATGTTGTCCATGGGGTAGCGATGGGTCGGACACAACTTTGCTAGACAACAACAACCAGTATATTAGTAGCATCCACTGAAAGTGTAGGGAAGGGATCCCTGAGGTTCTTTGTGCAAATTTCTAGGGAAGAATACATTACAGAAAAAAGTTTATACTTGTTTCTCCAGTGTCTTCCTCAGAATAACTCGACTGAATTTGTGAAACTTACTATATCCCCACTATGTAGTCATGTTGACCAGATCTGGGAAGAACAGAGCCTGAGAAAAGCTAGTAGTGGTTTCTGCTAATGATCATTCTCTGTATATGATTTTAAGAGAAAGATATCCAGTAATGCTCCAATTCAAATGGCACTGTTGGATTAGCATCCCTCTGCACAGATTCCCACATGCAACAGTTGGCTACATGGAACTGCATATGAATAACTGCACATATTCACCAAAGAAATCTATTATTTGTGTTGCATGGGGCAGGGGTGGATCACAATGGGACAATAGAAAAGGTGCTTCCACACTGGCATTCTGTAGCATAGCTGAAAACATTGTCTTGCCACTCTTAGCAGGATGTAGAATTAAAGCAGAGGTTTCATACAACCTTTAATATGCCAACTGTTCTGCTTTAGTTGAAACAGACTCTGGCTGTGTTTGCATGTAATGCTAAGCCATGCCATGTGGTTTCTGAGTGGCTTTGTCTCTTAAAAGGCTTAGACTGTCAGACAATGGTTTCCACACATACATGGTTAATCCTACTGCTGGCAGTATGTATCCCATCAGCCTCCATGGCTGAAATTTAATGCCAGAGAACACTTCTCCTGCCTGTATCACCTGCCTCTCTTTCATTGGTCTGCATATAGAGGTTGGATGGCTAGAATGGCTCCTGCAATTGCTGCTCTTTCCACCAGACTCTATAGTAACTGCACAGAAACTTCATTTCTGGATTCAGATAACCATATAAGTTAGATTGAATTATGGAAACCATACAATAGATCATTGTGTCTCTCCATGCTTCCACAGAAATGTACCACATGGTAAGACCAAACAGGGTTCAGACTGCACAACAGAGCATTTTGTGGTACAAACTCTGTGTCTTGTTGTTATGTGTGAACCCAGCCTCTGAGTGAAGGGCTAACCTAAAAGCAAAGTAACAGAAGAGGCAAATGCTCAAGCACCAAGTCTTCAGTCCAGTGAGGATCAAACTAAGGCAGAAGTGGTCAAGATAGCAGGCAAAAATGAATGCACAGGCAGTTAGATTTAGTTCATAATCCAGAAGCTGGGCCATACATGAGTCCAAGGGTCAGGAAGAGCAATCCCAGGACATGATAGAAGGAACTCGCACTAACCAAAGAGTGACTGGCTTGGCAGACACTAAAGGCTTTTATCACCTGAGCCTGCT